CTAAACAGAAGGAAAGCCTAGTGCCTTAAATGTCTCAATTTATACAGAAGATTTTTTGTCAAAAAAGATAAAAATTAAAGGTCTAAAATGATGAAAATGTAATAAAAATACACAAGACATCTTCAGAAGACCTGTTCTTCTGTTTCGTATATTTATTTTATATATTCATTCTATTTTATATATTCATGCTTTTACACTATACAAAAAAGATAAATGAAGAGGTGTTCTAATGTCTCAAGCACTGATAAAAACAACAATAAAAATTCAATTTCTTTAAATCTTGTTTATAGTCAGCAGACATTTGGCTAAGAAATCACTTAGTGCCCAATGATAAATTCACTAAATGTCTGCTAGAATTAAAAAATATAAGAATTTAAAAACAAATCCATATTGAAAAATATGAAATTTCTCAACAGCTCAGACAGTTATTTTAATATTTTCTGTTTTTAACTTTCATGTGACAAAACAATTAATGATCAGTAATACATTTTTTAAAATTATTTAGCTAGAAAATCAATGTTATGATATCTTGTCAAGAAAATGCTACGACTATTGTTTTCTCATTTCCTGCTCTTTCCTTTTAAATTGAAACTTTCCTATTTTAAAGCCCAGTCTATCTCTATTTCTCTTTACTTCCCAGTTTTCTCACTTTACTTTCCATTTCCCCTTGCTATGACTGAGAGATACAACAAGAAACTGAGTTTATGAGAAACAGGGCTTTTTAATTCAGAATATGGAGTTTTAACATCTGTATATTTTTACAGGATTATCGTATTGGATTTGCAACTCAATTTTCAATACTTTCTCTGTCTTAGCCCTTACTGGCTGTTAAATCCAAATTAGCATGAACAAAGTCTGTCTTTTATTTCTACTCTGAGCTGCACAGAGGTGCTTGACTGTACAAATTTCAAGGACGTTCCATACAGGAACCTCAAAATGTAGTGCTACAGATGCAGTGAAAAGCTGTAAACAAACTGGCCAGGAAGAAAATCAAATAGCATCATTTTATGCATTTGGTATAAATTTTCTTAACACCGAAGAAGAAGGAATGAACCACATAACCCATTTTAGTCAAATAATTTGGAATATAATATGCCATGCTGCATAAAGATTTATATTTCTCATATTTGGCAGAATCCAAAAGTCACATATTTAAAGAGTGTCAATGCTACACTCTCTGTATTTATGTTTAAAATTACCTGACTGTATTTGGAAGTACTTCCAATTTGCAGTACAACTTGCTACAAGAAGTGAGACCATCTGCTTATGAAAACAAGTATACAGCTATCTTATATTCCATATGACAAGAACAAACCACTCTTATTTTTCTCCACTTAATCTTCTTTCCAGTATTGTCTCCTGGCTCATTTCTTCTTTCTCCTCATGTTCTCACACCCTCAGCTTTTATAAATTCAATTTTCAAGTCCATGTATTGTATGGCTACTGAGCTGTCCACTCCTTTGCCTTTTACCTTATCATTTGTTTATAAATCTGGGAACTGATCTCCCACACACCAAAATAACAGGCAGACTGAGCACTTTCTTTAACAGGGAGTTTCTGTTGCTTACCCCTGTGTTGGATCCTTTCTTTGGAAGAGAAGGTATCAGACTCAGCAAGAAGATTTAATTCAGCAGAGAACACTACAAAAAAAAAAAAGGACCAGGAGAAATTAGTGGACTGGAATTGAAGAAATAGCCCTTGGCAAAAGCAGTCAAAATGGTTATTAGAATAGGCCCTCGTCCAGTTTTCAGGTAAATGTACAGTCCCACAACATTTAAAACTCCTAATCCAACAGTGCCTCCTAGTCTGAAGTCTGAAATTTCTAGAAAACCCTAAATCAGAAATTAAAACATATTTTAAACCACCTCTATCATAAACCCTAAACTTACAGCAATGTTTTTCAGTGGGTGGCTGAGTGCTGGGATATGATTCCCTTAAAGGTTAAGGAATCAATGTTTCTGGAAATATTCATATCTCAGCTGGAAAAGGCTCAAAACAAACTGATCCACTTTTGGGAATGGCTCTACTTTGAACAAGATGACCCCAAAGGCATCCTCCAAGCTAAATTATAATGCTTTTATAACTGAGAGGTGGGTAAAGAAGTGACCTTAAGCATGTCTTTATTCTTATCTGCTTCTGCTTGGAGACAGGGCAAGGAGGACTGAATATTGCAAAATTGTGGATTCTAAACATCAATCTTCTAAAATGGATGGAGGACTACATTTACTTCATCTGCCAAGAAGCAGGACAATGCACAAAGTGAGAGATTGGAGTGTGGAAGTGTCTTCCTGAAACAGCAACAAACCCAAACCAGAGCACTAAAACAACTGTTTTTATCACAGATGGCTTTAGCCCCCGAGGACTGTAGGGATTTGTAGCCTTTCTGTCTGAGATGGAACAGGCAAAATCTGAAGAGCCCAAAATTAGTTAAATCATTGAATGATACAAGTGTTAAGGTTGGAAAAGACCTCTAAGATCATCAAGTCCAACCATCAACACAGCACCACCATCATGTTAGACAACAGGAAAAAATTATTCACTGAAAGAAAGATTGGCCACTGGAATCGTCTGCCCAGGGAGGTGATGGAGTCACCATCTCTGGACATGTTTTAAAAAAGACTAGATGTGTCACTCAGTGCCATGAGGAGGTGTTAGATCATAGGTTGGACTAGATGATCTCAAAAGTCTTTTCTAATCTAGTTAATTCTGTGATTCTGTGATCCATGTCTACCAGTGCCACACCCATACATTTTTCCAACACTTCCAGGGATGATGACTCCGCTACTTCTCTGGGCAGAAAATTCCAGTGCTTTATGACCCTTTCAGAATTTTTTGTTAATTTCTAATCTTAAACCTCCCTTGTCACAACTTGATGCCTCTTGTCCTGCCTCTTGCTGCTTGGGAGAAGAGCCCTATCTCCACCACACTACACCTTCCTTTCAGGGAGGTGTAGAGAGCAATAAGGTCTCCCCTGAGTCTCTTTTTCTCCAGGCTAAACACCCCAGCTCCCTCTGCTGCTCCTCACACAAAACCTCTGATCAAACTACGAAGTTAATTCCGTGAAGACCTGGTTTCATACCAGATAAAGATCAACTTTATGGTGTCAACAACTGAAGCTCTCTGAGCTGTAACTGTACTAGTCTGAGCATTTAGCTATTGAAACCAATCTATGGAGCACACTACGAGCACAGTTTGATCTACTCGTTTCAAAGTACCTACAGGATGGTCAAATATACATGGGAAAAGGATCTTCTCTTCTAAAGAGTTCTGGACTACCACTCGTAAAGTTTTGCTTGTAGAAGCCTATATTCAGTCATTCCTTTAAAAAAGATGGTGAAACAAAGTCTGCTGACTCTGAAATGTCCCCTTAAGAATTAGATTATCAGAGCCTGTTTATTGAGATGTCTTTTGTGATTATGATTTATTCTGACAGTTTTAAATTGGAAGGCGCAGTTGACTGAAATGAGCTAATTCAATTTATAAATGCAGACTGCAGGAAAGAAATAGCATTTTTCTGGTCCAAAATGAATTTTATTTTACCTTAATTAATAGAATATGTAAAGCAAATGTGGGAAAACAGCTTTTAATTTACAGTGAAAAAAAGTAAAACCAAGTAGTTTTTAAGATCAGTCCTTAGAACAAGAAATAGACAGTTTGAGACTATTTTTTATTATTCAATACATATGATTCTGTATCATGAAAATTCTCTGGAATTAGATTAGAAAGCTCAGTTCATTTCCAACTGCTTAAGCAGCAGAAAAAAAAAAAAGGCTAAACCAAGGTCAGTGCATCTGACATGGGCATGAATGATTTTTTTACACTTTAATATTGATATTTAGGGAAGTATTAATCCTCATGGCAAGAGCCAGTCTGGGGGATTATTTCTTAGCAAGTGGCAAAAATCTTGCACAGAAAAGAAACATTAAATCCTTTTAAATACTAGAAAATGACATTGTTTATGGGATGATCCCTTGCTTCACTGACAGAAGAGTCTTTGAAAGGAGAGAACATGAGCATTCAGAGTTAACAAATTAGGCTGTACATGCAGAATATCCAGAAGATTTATATTCTCTGTGATGGGAAGAAGAAGAACATATTTCATATATACTTACTTGCAAATTATACCTAGCCCTTGGCATAACTGCAGTAATAGATTCAACCTCCATCAACAGATCTGTGACCAGAAGGAGATCTACACACACTAATAGAAATAATGCAGATGCTGGCTAGAAACGGCAGTTTATGTCCTAGAAGGAATATTAAATTAGAGAACACTGTTCTCATGACACACAGTCTGGAGTTCTGCATCCACCTCTGGGGTTCCCAGCACAGGAAGGACCTGGACCTGTCAGAGAAGTCCAGAGGAAGCCACCAAGAGGATTTGAGGGATGAAGCACCTCTGCTATGAGGAAACACTGAGAGAATTAGGATTCTTCAGCCTGGAGAACAGAAGGGAAGACTTCAGAGTGACCTAGTTCCACTTTCCAGCACCTGAAGGGAGCCTACAAGGAAGATGGTAGCGAGGCTCTTTACCAGAGCCTGTACTTACAGGACAAGGGGAATGGCTTCAAACTGAAATAGAGTAGGTTTAGTTTAGCTATTAGGAAGAAGGTCTTTACTGTGAGGGTGGTGAGACACTAGGAGAGGTTGCCCAAATAAGTTGTGGATGCCCCATCCCTAGAAGTGTTCAAGTCCAGGCTCTGGGAAACCTGGTCCAGTGGAAGCTGTTCCTGTCCATGGTAGGGGAGCTGGAACTAGATCATGTTTATGGTCCCTTCCAAACCAAGCCATTCTATGATTCTATGACATCAAACTTTTATCTGCTTTCCTATTTCACTTTTATATGCCTTCCTATTTCCTATTCCTATTCAGAGGAATAACACTAAACTGGGCTTAATTCCTTAAAGTCATGGGAATTTGAATGGTGCTCTGCTTAAGCCAGATTCTTTGACTGTTGAAGGGGTTTCTTTAGTAACAGATTTTAATTTGTTTTTTTTTAGTTTCAGCTCAAACAGCACCACAAATACAAGAAGTGAAATCAACATAGATATGTTGAGTGTGCCTCCATCCCAGGAAGAAGAGAGCTATTCCCTTCCATCAGCCTGGGGTAGGTAGTACATAGTATTAAATAGTAAAAGAGATTTCCCAAAATATATAATAATATAAATAAAACAACTGTGATGGAAATTTAGGTCTTTGAAGAGGATTAAGAAATGGCAGTGAGCCTGAAATTGCCATAGTGAGGCGCCGTGATTTCAAAACCTGGAAACTTGGAGTTTTGCCCTTCCTCCACTGAGCTGAGACACATTTATTGGTTTGGTTCTCCTTGCCCTGCTGCTGATGGAATTCAGGACAACTCAAGCTGAGATTCATGAGGGAAATGGAATAAATACAAAAGTCTGCACTATATAAAAATATTCAGCTATGTCTACAAGAGTTCGTCCTGAAAACCACCCTTTGTGCCGGTGTTACCAATGGCTTTGTGACCTCCTTTGAAATTGTGCTTGTGACTTGGTTATGACAGACTGGGATTGGAGGCAAGCTGGAAGTCTCTAGCCAAGGACACGATAAACTATAATTGTTCTCCAGTATTCTGACTTTGTCATCAGCAGATTTTTTTCATTATAAATCTTTTTTTGTTCAAGACAAGATCAAGGATGAGTTTCATGCATTTGTGTGCTTACAACTCTCTGACAAAGGAAATAGCTTGCTTCTGAAGCTCATACCTTTCCCAATCACATAGAAACTGAGATAGCAATTTTTTTTCTTAAATAAAAAGACAAGCAATGACAATTGCTGCTAAAAATTACTGTAGGAAGATGATAACCATGAGAAGAAGAAAGCATTCCTATTATCATGGCATTTCATAGGAGAAATAACAATCTCAGAAGTAATACAGATCAAAAATCATGTTATTTGTCTGCCATTATTATCAAGAAATGCAAGTTTCACAACATTTCCCCACAGCCACAGGTTATTAGAAGGTTTCTAAATTATAAAAACCCTCTAGAATTCCCACAATCTCCCTGTACCTTAATGAAAACACGCACCATGACTTCCAGGGCAAGAGGTAAGGTTGCAGTACTTCCCTCAGGGACTCTGTGAGGGAAGCTGAAGCAGAGCCAGAGTGAACAGAGCAGAAGAAAGCTAATTTTGCACATTTTGGGACTTTGCAATGCCAATAATATGCTCTTCTAAATATACATTTCAAAAATGCACCTGGGTCCACTTTAAAGCACAACAAAAGCCAGGCAGCAGCCACACCTGAATGAAGCTAGAATGTGACTTACAGAGCTCTGAGGAAAAGCATCCAGAGCTGAGACACTTTGCAGAAAGTTGACTCTTGGCCTGGGAAAGAGGAGGAAGAGCAGCTTGTTGGGGCTCTGCAGCATCTCTCTGTAGCTATGGGGTTTGTTTGCACTGTTTGGTGCTCGCAGTTTTTAGAATTTATATTTTTTCATGCACAATGCAGTCTGTGGCCATTGCAGGCGTGTACATATTTGTCATCATGCCTGCTGAACACAATAAAGTGTCAGTCTCCTTCATATTGTCATCTTCAGGTAGGTTCAGGTCAAACAATGCAAACATTTCACATTTTTGTGTGGGAAGACAAAAATGTACTCTGAGACCATCAAAAATAAGGAGCTTTCATTATCAAACTCTTTTGGCAGCCATAAGCCATTAGTTTTGCCCTACACTGACACTATACTAAAAAAAAAAAAACCTGAACCAAACTTAAAAACAATCCCACCACCCCTAAAAAACCCAAACCAACCACATACCTGGGAAGGTGCATGAACTGGCAGTCATAGATTGTTGCCAGACCCAAGATCACAGCCAACCTTCTCCTCAGGCAAAGAAATAGTGATGTATAAACAGGTGTCAGAACAGATTTAACCATCTGGGGACATTCAGCAAAATCATTCTGGAGCACGCTTTTACAGGAGTTGCAGGTTTCTTGTTTAGTAATCATCTTTCCCCTTTTGTTTTGTATCCTTCCCTTTAAAATTAAAGTCAGAAATAAACATATCAAATCTACTTTTGAAACAGGTAAATCTATGGAATAGCTTCCAGGGCCAAATATTTATTAATATATCCCTATATTATCAGTAAGTTTAGTTTTATTCTTTGACATTTTTCAAAGAAAAAAGAGAGAAAAAAGCATTGCAATGGTCATATGAGACAAGAGGATAGCCCTATTCTGTCATTCCAGGGACTCCTTCAGAATTATATCTTTAATGATATGTGTGTAAGCTATAATAAAGAACTATTTTAATGCCAGACTACTAAGTACAATGCAATTTTCAGTTTGCACAAGCTGTCACAGTACAATGTCATTATTTGCAATGTAAATGTTTTACTCACAGAATGTTCAGCATGAAATATTTAAGATTCCTGGATAGTTAACATTTTGAGAAAACACCTCTTATATTTTCTCATCTTTCTGTAATTATTCCTGTATTTTGCAGTTTATTACAATTTTAGAAGTTTAAGATTTCTACCTTTTTTTCTCCAGCTGATTCAGCTCTGAGGATCAACCTTTGCTAAAGTTACCAGGTGAGGTGGAACCCATTTCATTCTAGAACAATACAAAACTTCCCCAGGAGGTTCTGGTAGCAAAGGCTCCAAAAATAAAAATGCACAACAGCATTAAGACTTTGTGCTAAATTCCATTTTGGCAGCCAGGTAAGGGGAGACCACAACTATAACCCTTTTGAATTTTTTATATCCCTGGACTATTGGTGTCAATATGATATGCTAAGCTTCCTAATATCTGTAGCACAGGCAAGTCTGTAAGTAGATAGATTTTGAGAATGTTATTTTATTTTTTAAAAAATGGAGAGAAAATCAAATATTTAGAAAGATTCTAAATATTATGTCAACTTAAGAATAAAAAAGCTCACTACTGCCTGTAGAGTCCTTAAAACCAGTGTTTTCAGAAATTTGCAGGTTAGTTATAAACAGAAATTATTGAATATTCATTTGCAAATAAATTTAAATAAACTGCAAATGGGAATTACCTTGATACAATATTAAATAAGTATTTTTTTCAAGTCTGTCCTAATCAAAAGTTTAAAGATGAAATGTAAATTACTACAATAAAAATACTTAGATATTACAGATATTTCTCATCCACAGTTGTAAAAGTATTTGAAAAGATGCTTTTTAACAGCTTCAATTTATCAAGCCACTTACTAGAACCAAGACCTTGAATTTAATTCACTTGAGTCTAAATAATGCCTATACATATATGCTATCATATATTTTGTATATATATAGGTGGTGTTTATTATTGATCCACAAAATTGAATATAGTCATTTTACCAGGGCACCCATATTATTGCTACTAATTATACAAATCAAAACAGCATTAGACAAGCCAGTGGGAGACAAGCACCAACTGCTTTTCCCTCCAAGCTCTCATCTCCTCTGATATCACATTTTAAACACCAGCTCCTCCATCATTTTTAAATACTGCCAAATAAAATTTCTTTAGCATGAAAAGACTTTGCTTGAATCCAAATAAACTCATAATAATCATACTAACTGGTTTTACTGAAGTGCTTTTAATCAGAAAGGGACATTTTACTTTATTTTCAGGAGGCTGATAGAGATTTGGTTAAGCACATATGAAATGGATAATACAATTTCTTTCTGGCCACAGAATAAACTTCCAAAAGCAGAATCCTCATGCTTTTCTTTTTTATTGCTCTTTAATCCTTCTAAGGTTTTTAAAAGCATAAAGCTTGTTTTGAAGGTATCATGAGGATGTTCCTCACCTCAGAAATGAACAAATTGTTCACACAAGTAACAAAGATCCATCACAAAATTAGTTAGAGGTTAAAACACAGACCAAGATCCTTTATCTCTTCTGCTGGGTCTGTCTTGTCAGTGCCGGTGCTCAGTCACCCTCTCTGAGAAAAGTGTTTCCTGATGTTCAGGTGGGCAGGCCTACGTTTCATTTTGTGCCTCTTGGCTCCTGTTCTGCCAGTGGGCACTCCTGAAAAGAATCTGGCTCCATTTTCTTTGGGCTGTATCATCAGGTATGTACAGACCCTTCACTGCGCCCTCTCCACTGTGTCCTCACCTCCCTGGCGCTGGACAGCCTGTAGCTGGACACAGCACTTTGGGTGTTGCTACACCAGTGCTCTCTCCAGGGGAAGGTCACGTCCCTCATCCCACCAGCAGCACTCCTGAGTGCAGCCAGGGGGACTTTTCTCCCTTTTTTTGTTTGCTGCCTTTGGTGCTGGCTCATGTTCATCTGGGATCCATGAAGCCTCCCAAGTCCTTTGCTGCAAAGTTGCTTTCCAGATTGTCACCCTTCCTGCCAGCACACAGGACATGCCAACAATTTCCAGCCCTCATTTCTAGGATTTTCTGCTTAAAGAGAAAAGTAGGGGGGTTATCTGTACATGGTGTCTTTTGAATTTTTGGAAACAGGCATTTAAATTCTTAGGAAAGGCAAAGGAGACAAAATGACAACACAACTCTGCAGCAAACAGTAAATCCAAAATAATTCAAGAGGCAAAGACAGTTAATGACACAAAATTGATAAACACTTCAGATAAAACCCACTCCTTATTCCTGGTCATGTTTGCTGATACATTATTGGGGATTACCCCAACTCAGTTTTACCCTGAAGAGGGTGTCCCTTTGATGTTTACCCCAGCGTAAATCATTGTAACGTTGATGCCTGGTGCAAGGGCTGGAGCAGGGGATGCATGGGAGGCTCTGCTGCTGAGGCAGATGGGTCTGATGCTGCTCTGCCAGCCAGCTCACACTGCAGCCAGCTTGAGGTCAGCCTGCTGGGCTTCCTCTCACAGAAACCCAGCAGCGCTTTTAATGCCTTTAGAAGGCATGACATTACCCACAAGATTCACACACTGAATGCCACAAAAAAAGTTTTCTAAAAGGATTCCTTCTCTTTTCTTTGAAACAATCTTCTTGTTTCTGTCTTGCCTGTGTACTCTTCTCTGCAAGGCTCCTGCCTTGCTGGGCAGGCATACATGCACAAACTAGATGAGTTTTAAAAGTGTTACCCAACATGTTTGTAATTATTAGAGCTCTCTCCTGTTTACACACAGCTCTTTTAACAGCAAGAGACACCAATATTATAAACCAGGTGTGGAAATCAAAGTGGCCATACCTTCTCCCTCCCAGATGCCAGGATAGTGCTGCTAGTCCCTGCCTCTGCTCCTGTCTCAGGAGCATTCCCCCTCTGTCAGGTGTCAGAGCAGGTGAATCATTCCATCTCTCCTTGCAATTACATCTTTCCTCTCCTTTCTCTTGTCTACTTAACCTCTGGAGCAATGATTGCTTTTGTGACTTTAAGGAAACTCGTTACACACTGTGTCTGGACCTCAGAACAGGAAATGGAAGGGGCCATGAGGACTTTCAATATTCCTCCCTTTTCAGTTTCTTGGCGTTGGCTTACAATGCTTACAACCACTTTCCTGTTATGGGTAGGATTTTTTTTCCAGGACATTCCTATTGGGTGACTGCAGAACTGCAGCCATGAAGAACAGCATAGGATTAAGCCTTAAGGAAGAGTAAAACTTTTTCAAAATAGCTCTCCTATATGGGGGGCTCCATGGCCAGCCAAAATGGCTTTAATTTGATGCTACAGGATTTCTGCAGCATCAGAGCAAATAAAGGATTATTTCTACTAAATATTAATCAATGCCTTTCTTGAAGTTATGGTGGTAATAATATTTTTCATTATCTTAGCTCATGTCTCAAAGTAAACC